GCTGGGGAATTCTGGGAGTTGAAGTCCACACATCTTAAAGTTGCCAAGGTTGAGAAACCCTAGCTTGGAGGATACCATCTGCCATTCAGAGAAGTCACCCTCTAGCAATCCTTTTGCCATAACGTTACATTACAAATGAAAGCCTGGTTCCCCGAGATTTCCATTTACAGTTTAGAATAATTTCCTGCACAAACCCAAATACTCCTTCCAAGGTAAATTAATGGTGTTTCCCTATGCTTCCTTCTTGTTAAAAATATATATATATATTCAGGAAATGTGTGACTTGGCTTGTTATATGTTTCAATGTCTTTCTTCAGCCAACCGCAGGAACGTGTACAAATTGGAAAAGGAAGAGTGCATTCCGGATGGGATGTGTATCGATACAGAAGGGAAGCTTTGGGTGGCCTGCTATGATGGAGGACGGGTAATCCGTATAGACCCTGAGACAGGTGAGCCATTGTGGAGAGGGGGCTGGGGAAGCCACTGACAGCCCACATCTCTTTCCTGAGATCAAGGTGTTTGGTGTAGGGGATCCAGAGCAAACAGAATACGTCTGTTCTGGTAGTTTCAGATCATTCCTTTGCTCATGTACAGATGTTGCTTTGGAAAAGCAGCCACTGGTCCCCAGGAACAAGAAAGTATAAAAAGGCCTTACCTCTGAAATGCAGAGCAACTCATGCTTCAGTTTACTTGTTAATGCAAATGGAAAACCTTCAGTGATTGGTGAAACTTGGGTGATGATGTCATCCCACAAATGCCGTGACCTGAAGCTTTCTGCATGTGGTCAGAAGGTACATTCAGGTGCAGAAAGCCCTGGTTTTAATCCCTGACCTCTTGAGGTCAAAGAATCAAAGATAGGAAAGTCCTCTCTGTGCCCAGTGAGACTCTCTGTAGACTTTGCCAGATAGATAAATAACCTTGTCCGGCATATGGCATATTCCTACTTTCCATAGTGGAAGAATGATCAGAGCTTTACAGAACTGGTTCAAGAGTCCTGTATATTACACATGGATCACGCTCATGCACAATGAAGGCAATCAGTACTTTTGCCTTTGAAAATCTGGTTCTTTAAAGGCTGTGAAGTTCTTTTATCCAGTTCTAGGACATACCTTTTGTTTCTTTAGAATGGAGTATGCAAGTGGCAGACTTCAGGTAGTTTCCAGCGCCCCATTTGCAGCCCCCGGCTCCCTCATTTTTGGTGGGAGTGCAGTTTCTTTTTTCCAAATTTAAGGATGGAAGGGTAGTGGTTTTCTTTCCACTCTGCTGATCTGCTGCCCTTTGTTAAGGAAATGACCTAATCTGTTTTAACAGGAAAAAGAATTCAGACGGTGAAGCTGCCTGTTGACAAAACAACTTCTTGTTCTTTTGGTGGATATGATTATTCAGAATTATATGTCAGTTCAGCTTGTCAAGGAATGGATGAGTCATCTCTCAGACAACAACCCCAGGCGGGTGGCATTTTCAAGGTAATTGGAGAGCTTCAGTGCATTTGAAATCCTGGCATGCACGACACAGTAGTTGGGAGAAGCATTAGACTAATTTAACTGAGGGGCATCTGCGGGGTCAAAAAAGTCAAGATGGCAGCTTCAATTGTGCTGCTGCAGCCTCTATTCTTACTTTTTTTATTCCCCCCTGCTCTTCCATGGACACCTCTGTTTTAACTGACTGATTTAAGAGCTAAATTTTCACTAATATCTCTTTTAAAAAATAGCATTCTTTTTAAAATGCATACTTTAACAAAACTAAAATTCCAATATGATTTTTTTCCTCTTTTTTTTTGCATTAAAAAAAAGAAGCAACTTGGGTATTGTGAAGAATCAAACTAAGTATCTCAGATTAAATGTTTTGTCTTTAAAGACCTGGCTTTGCTCTCGGGTCCAGGGTTAGAATGGCTGCTGAGGCCATGATGGTTATTTTGCTGGAATTTTGGTGTGTTTGTGTGTTTTCTGGATGTCTATAGTTTTTTGTTTTGTTTTTTTAACTATTTTATTGTCTCTTGCCTTGGATGTAATCCACCCAGAGTGATCTGGGAGTTGGGCAACCTCCAAATCTAGTTAAATAAATAAATATATGCAGGCAAATATTTGCTTTTGAAATAAATACTTGGAGTTTATTAGGAAAGGCATTACAGTTTTGAAACTATCCTGTTGGTATCCTCATTTTTTTTAACAGATTACTGGCCTTGGGGTGAAAGGAATCCCACCACATTCATATGCAGGTTAATAATTACCCTTGAAGAACCAAATATCAAAACAAGGAAGGAAGAAAAAGACAAAGAGTTGCATCGCTGAACATTTAATCTGTCTCTTTTTTAGAAGCTACAGAAGGATGGTAGCCCAACAAATAAAGTAAGAAACTCCCAAACCATGAATTCAGATTTGAATTGTGCCCAATTGGCTTTTTTATTATTACTAACTAAACAACAACAACAACATTTTTCCTTTCTGGTAAAATCAGTATTTCTAATAAAGTTTCAAATATATGAATACTGTATATGTGTGAATTTATCAGTTTGCATATTGTGTTAGTCCCACTTGAAAAACAAATATTTAGCTGTAGCATGACATAAGTGGGTTTTCTAGTAATAATATCGTTTGTTTTTTGCTTTCTGCCTTGTGGAAATCCAGCCAATTGTGGCTTATTCAACAAACCATAATTAAAAGAGACCATAGCTTACTATGGTATGTGACCTCAGCCTACTCTCTCCTGATAAATGCTTTACTTCAACTGAATTAATCTTGCTTGAGTAAATGTGATCTTGGTTGAATAATTCAACATTTCTGAACATGTTGCATATCTACTCCAGCCAAAAACAATGACTTATTTTTCTAATGAGGTAGTGGTACAATTTTTATAAATATTTTTCAAAATACTGCAAGGATTGATAAAATGACATCACTTCAGTGTATCTAGCACTGTCATGCAATACTAATAATACCTCATTTTTCTTTACTTTATATACGTTTTCTTGTATTTTTAATGGTGCAATTGATAAACTTTGGTAATAAACATATATATACACACACACACGCAAACATATATAGACCTCATACTATTGGAGAAAACCGAAACAGTTAAAAAGAAACCTAAAAGTAACTGAATAAAAAGAAAAACAAATAAAAAACAAAAGAGCAAAGGTATTTAGAAAGAGAAGTGGAAAAAAAGAAATAACAGTAATTTTGGTGTGTTTTGTTTCAGTTTTTTGCTGAACTGAGTTTTCAGAGAATATGAAATGCATGTAACATTTCTTAAAACCTGAGACTATTTTGTAATATAAGATACACCCATTTTCATTTAATATTGTATATATCCAAATTTATTTTTATATTTTTATTTATTTAAATAATAGTGCATTATTGATTTGGTCTCTAGAAAAGTCTTCTCCAATATACTCAATGCCTTTGGACTTTTGGAGGCCACCAAGGCACAAGGGCCAAATAAGGATCATAAGAAGTGTTTAACTGCATATATTGCTATTTGGTAGTTTATATTCCTTTGGTGAGGTTTCCAAAGTTTTTAAAGTATTATTACATTAATTGATTAAGAATTATTATCTCATTTTCAATCCATGTTTTACAGAAAAAAGTATTTTCACCTATCATTAAATAGGGTTTATTCTAAAGTCTTTATGAGAACTGAAATCAAATTTTAGTTTTTTTCCCTATAAGGACCAAACATGGCTGACCATCTTCATTGCTGGAAAAATGATTTAAGATCCTATCATAGTGGGAACTAAACATTCCCATGACTTTAAGGTTGCCAAATAGTAACTCCTAAGTCGAGCCCACATGTCAGTTTCATTCCGATACAATGTTGAAATGAATACTTATGCCTAATGATACCGTATTCTTTAAAATCAGGAAAATTAAAAGCATCCTTCTCTGAACCTTTCAGAAAGATGTTCCTTCCATTAAAAATTAACCATTAATCTATCAATCTGTTTAAAACATTGTGGAACCAACATAGACATTACTTTTGTGGTGGAAAATTTCTCCAGTAAACATCAACAGTTGGGGTCCAAAGGATGGGGGAGGGGGGGGTTGCCAAAGCTAACTGGTCTCTAAGACCCAGATCCACAAGGTTGCATAGGTCCTATACAGAAAGTTGATTAAGAGAGTTGAGCATGCCCACTAGCATGAGTATTAACATATAAAGAGTATTATGCTAGTATTATGAGTACTAGAGAGAGAATTGCTTTTCAACTGATAAGGATGCAAAATCACAGAATGGAAGACACAGGTACCCTTCCCAGTGTGAAAACATTACAGACACATTCCTTGAAAGGCTTTGTAGCACTGATATATGACAGGTGTAAAGTCTCTGTTGTTGCAAACAGAGAGACAGCAATAAGGAAGCAGCATTATGCAGCCTTGAATCTGCTTACTACCTGCTCTCAAGGCATAAGGGCTATAACCATTTAGACACTAACAGGCACAAATTGGCATTGCATTAAAATTCCATTCTTAAAGGTACTACATGAGAGATACATGAAAAAAGCCATATATGTAATACTATACGTATAAAGTAAGCACATGAATACACAGTTAATTCAATCTGAGCTCTTATTCCAACTTTCTACATTCCCTCCCACCCTTATTTTTATTAAACTGATGTAACTTGAGGTATATAATCAATAGGGCCAGAAGGGGGTCAAAATGAGAGACAGAATGAAAAACAGAGGGAGATCAAAGCATGAAATTCAGAAAGTGACAGAGAATTAGGGAAATTTAAGCTGAGGGCAGGAAGAGTAACATTGAGAATTCTGCTGAAAGAATCAACGTTTTGAAGGCTTCCTGCTCCAGCACAGAGTGTGAGGGATTTACAAGATGTACTGTAGCATTCACTTCCCAATTGGGTGTCCCAAATACAATCCAATTGCCTTTTCTTTTGGACTCAAATCCATGTTAAGCTTTATCATTTTTTGCTCCTTGGTCTGGAATAGCATTTAGTGTAGTACCTTGCTTATATGCAGATTTTAAAAATAAAACGAGAGAAAGTTACTTGCATTGGGAGTCCTATTTTTATGAGACAAAAAATTTATATACAGGTAGTCCCCAGTTTAAGAATGAGTTCCATGCCCTAGGTTTGTCCTTAAGTCGAATTTGTATGTAAGCCGGACAGTAACATTGTATAATACTGTATAAGTCTATTGTGTAATCAACTCGAACCATTGTTTATTTAACTCGAATCATTGTGTATTTAACTTGAATTTTGCTACAGTAGGCTCCATTCTTAACTATGGGTTGTCTTTAAACTGGGCGTTCTTAACCCAGGGACTACCTGTATATGCTAGACTGGTTGTTCTTGATGGGCCATATCTAGACTCAGCCTAGCAAGTTTCCTCAGACTGAGTATGTCTATATCATTTTGGAAAATGATGAATGTTGATTAATATCCATAGCCATACAATCAAAGCCTTTGCTTTGCTTTTACAAACAAGTCTCCCCAGTGTGTGCAGTTTTACTTTCAATTTCTTACTGGCACAACACAACAATAACCTAAGTAAAGCAAACAATTATAATTTGGTTTTAAAAGTGGAGTAACCAAAGTCTGACCAATTGAAATGTTATTTAACAAAAAATATAGTCCTATTCAAATTGAAGAAGAATTCTGTGGAACTCCAAAACTTGTCCATTATGCTGTAATGTTTTGGTTGGGTCAAATAAAAATCTTGGCTAACTGTGGATTTTTGAATGCTCACCTAGGTAATTTTTAACCAATATGATCTGTATGTAATGATTGCAAATAATTGAGATTTAGGAAATTGTATCTGGATTTTTAATATAAACTTGTTTTGATAATTAGATTTCTGTCAGTATATCAAAAGGAACAAGATCCATATTAGTACAAAATTCTAAACCAGAATACTACAGAATCTAGGCTTTTCCCAAGTAAGAAGGCTAGCATATTATTACTTTCCAATTTGCTTCATCTGCAATTTTAACTAATCCAGAATTTTTAACAGTAAAGATACTTAGCTTTCCATCTGAATGACAACCTCTGTCTTGTCTCTCTACTAACAGGGCAGAATTTAAAGCTAGGTTTCAGGAGACCTTAAATTTCAGGAGAATAGCAACAAAACAGGGTCTGGGTTTTGGATGGAAAACTAAGTTTTTCTGCCCTAGTAAATTTTGTTTGTTTTAGCCAAATTTATTCTGACCTTCAGTCAGTTAAGCTTTGGATGAGTTGGCAGATATGGGCACTGATAGGAAAGAACTCAAATGATTATCTATATATATTCCCCCCCCCCACTCCCCAAGAATTGTGGAGCAATAGGAGAGACAAATTTCTCAATTATTTAGACATCTACATGAAAAGTGACTAATAAACAAGAGCAGTCAACATTTGTTTTAACTACAGATTAGGAAGAAAAGGTTTTCTGATTAAAAAATGCCAGGCAAAAGTTAAAAAGTAACAGTTGCTGAGTCAGAAAGCTTTCTCCAGCAGTTTTTTTTTTCTTTTAAAGAAAGGTGAATTTATTTACACTAAAATAAATACTGTAATGGGATTGGCAGAGGATTGAACTGGAAGGTAGCGAAGTAACCCCAGTTAAAAAAAGAAAAGATTGGAGTGATGACCAATTTAGGATCCAAATTGCTATTTAAACTGCACTGTGAAAAAAAGTGTGTAAACATTTTTTGTTGTAGAATTCAGTATTTTACTGAAGAGTCTATAATCTTGCAATGTTTATACTATATTATAGCAAATACAAGAAAGTTAATGCATAAATCTCTGCTGAGAAATAAAATAATATTTTTTGTTAAGGAAAGTCTTATTTAACTGCTTGGTTAAAGTCTACCAAGAAGATCAACATATATATCTGATGTGGGTGATCTGGTAGATGTGTCACTTGATGTTTGTCAAAAACTTTAAATAGAGTTGTTCATTAAAGGTTGATAAGACATCTACAACCATTTTAGGATAAGACGGAGCTTTTGAATCACCACTTTCAGATATGCTGGGCTACAGCCCCCATCATCCTTATCCAGCTGCACAGGAAGACCTGGACTAGAACCAAAAGGTTGGATTAGGTGGAATTTTTAGCATCTTACCCTGGTGCAGTTCTTGTTTTTTAGTGATCCAAAGTGCAGAATGATCTGGCCATGCTTCTCTGCCCTTCCCTTAGGCACCATGGATGAAAAGACAGCACCAGGTATTCAAGTCAAGCACCAAGGTGCTCTTTGTATTTTTTCCTGATTGTTGTGCAATGAAGTGAGTAGAGCAAGTGGACATCTCCACTGGATCATAGAACTTTCTTCTACATCTATAGCTTGGCCTATCTTATGCATGCTTTCAGCCATGATGTACACACTGGGAAAATGGTTACATATTCTTTCTTCCAAGGTTCAGTAATTAAAGACAACTTTCAGAAGATTTTCTTGTTATCGTTTGTAATATTAATATATATGGCATACAGGGTCAGGGTCACATTATTAATACAGATCATTTATATTTTGAACAAGCAGGTTAAAAGATGGGCCAAGAGTCAATTTGTTTTGATTGAACAAGATAATGTTGAGATAGGTTACCCCTACTTGTGAACTAGAGGCATGTGTCAAGATACTACTTTGTTTTCTATTTTGTCTTCACAATATTTGGCAATTCTGCCTTTCCCCTCTTTTTCTTTCCATATAAAATTCAAACTGGAAGACTAAACCATTCTTTTCAAGGTCACCCCAATTCTTTTCTAGCTAGAGTTTGGAATATAATAGGCACAATTAATCTATTTATATGGCATAGACCCACTGCTGGGTAATATGCTACCTCTTGATTTTTTCCCTGTGTCATTCTAGAAGTCTTCCAGAAAAATGTGGTAGTTCTGTTTTTTTTAAAGAATTAAATAGCCAAGTTGGAGAAAGTAAATAGAGTCTTGTATACTGCTTTCATGACTTATTACTGTAAGTTAAGCCCTTTGATAATGATTAATTAGTAACAGTAATTAATAAGGTTTATTATTACTAATCTTGTGATTATTAAGCACAGTTACAATATGTGACCCTCCAGTTCTTACTGGACTGTAGCTGCAATTGTGCTTCACCATTGGCCAAGCCTGATTGGAATTAAGAGTTCAACACAGCCTGAAGGACATATTGCTCTTCCTGTTCTATATGAAAACAAGATGACATCATCTCTCTCCTTCTTTATTTTAATTAGCATTAGAACTCTTGGCAATCCAAACATGTCAAGAAAATGGAATCCTAGGAGTTAAATTAGTACACAAGATCATACACTGAAATTATTTGGTGATGATATTGTACTAACAATTGCTGAAACCAGGGTCTCTAATAACATTGCTGGAATATACTCAACAATATGGCTTATTGTAGGGTTGCCGTATCTGGGCTGCAAAAATCTGGGCAAGCATTTGATGGCAACATAAATATACAGATAACTCTTAATTGTCTGCAGTTTAGATGTGGTAGTCCAGTTCAGTGCATCATGTAAATTCAGCCAATGGCCCCAGTCACATATCTTGTTAACCATCAAACTATTTTGTTTTGGATTAGTGCAGTGGTAGTGAAAATATTGTACCATTTTATGATTAAAAGTTCCCCTGAAAGTCAACCTAAATCCCAACACTGAGGGAAGAAAAGGCTGATTCCAGGATGACTGGGAAGAAGCCGTTCATATCCCTGGCACAAACATGAATGGCTATCACAGAATCTGCATGTATTAGATAAGTAATCATATCCTGTAAATAATGATTGTAAGAAAGAATTCACTTAGCACGATCAATCTATAAAGTCCTGCCCAAATGTATGGGGTGCACTTATCCATGGACTCCAGTGTGGTACACCAGGTCCAAGCAGCTCCCTTTACAAAGTAAGTTCAGGATACTCCCTTGAAGAGCATGGAGGGTCAAACTTTCATCAATAAAAAGTACTTCTTTTCCTCTTACTTAAGTAGACATCTTGCAGTCTGTTGAAGTGGGTGGGTGTCTTCTTGTACAGCACAACACATTCTAAATTCTCTCCTTGTTAAGCTAGCAACAGAGAGTGAGAGACCATTTAGGGCACATTCCCATTGAATGCTATGCCATCAAGAGGGCTGTTTTACCCTGGCTCCATATAAATAGATTCACACATTGCACAAAGCCAAGATTTAAACAAAGCTATTTCACTGAATGAACTAGAGTGGTTGGGTTTCATATCCTACTGAGCTAAAACCCAACAAATCACATTATCAGATTACCATGTTGTGCAAAGAAAGAGAATACATTCCAAATGTGATATTGGAGAATGTATGCAATGTTCTAGCTAATATAAGTGGGCTAAAGCAGAGTTTACACACACACACACACACACACACACACATAAATCAGTTGTGCGCTTCCTCATTTGTTAATCTTTAATTTTTTTTTGGCTAGTCGTCATTTTCATACCTTCTTCTGTCTTGTTCTTGATGCTTGTGAAATTAATGTTTGCAACTTTTTCAAATCATTATTTAGCTACTGAGAACCTTAATTCAGAAAGTATCTTGCTTTGTCCCATCGTTTGAAAATACAGTTGCAATTGACAGCACAATATTGGCAACTTCTGCTAAAGCATTTATAATTACAGATCAATCTCATGGAATTAAGATGGGGTCATATTCAATCTTGTTATTTTATTGCATGCTAGAGCATGTTACTCTTGCTGCTATTATTAGCATTTATATTCAACAAAGATATTCACACAATTTACTAAACCACAATTTGCATGATCATGGTTTATTAAACCACAATTGGCAGAGTTCATCCATGCTAAACCATAGTTTGCATACCACAATATGCTAACAAGCAAGGCTCAGAATGCAGTGTGAACCCACAATTCCTCTTTTAAGGCCCCAGACTTTTTTCATTTTACAAAAATGGATTGTTAGAAAGAAAGCTTAAGAGGTTCGTCTCCGAGCCGGGAACAAACACGCGGGCGATTGCTTGAAAGAGAGAAAAGACTTTATTTTCCGAGAGCCAGATACACAAAACGATCAGCTGTCGGGCAGCAGCACTTGGGGTTCCCCAGGAGTTCCTTTTATAGGGAAGATCCTATTGTTCCTTGACAGGTGCGGAGGAATGCCCGCCCTCCAGGAATTCTTAGAAAAGATCATTAGCCGGGCCGAGAGAGCGCTCTCCGGTGAAGTTGACTAGATCTTCAGAAGGGAGCGCCCTAAGGTCCGGCACCTTACTGAGCTGGGGTTTCCTGTGTTTGCCTTATCTGGTATTCTCTAACTGGAATGTAGGTCCCTTCGGGGAAGAAATCGTTTTATGATTTGATTTCGGCTTCAAGGAATGTTGGCTCTTCCTGCTAGGTCTTTAGTTATTTAATTTTGGGCTGGGGTGGAGGACTCTGATTCTTCCTGCTATGTTTTTAATCTTTTTAGGTGTGCCCAATCTTACTATAATTTAGTCATAAGCCTTGATTGCTGTTAAGATAAACAATGGTAGGGTGAGCAGATGGGAAGCTTTGACTTCCTCCTGACATGGGGGGAAGAATTTGACTTCCTTCTCACAGGATCAGTGCAATTTTTCTTCCTAATATACTATTTACATTCACATTTTCTAAGTGCTTGTGCCCCTTTCAGTCCTATTACTTCAGACGCCGTTCCAACAAATCTGCTTGTCACCACACGTGGGGAAGAGTGGCCTAGGTTTGAGAGTTATAGCACACTATAATGTGCTAATGCATACACTACTAATGCATACAGATTTACTTCTACCTTGCCCAATGTCACCCAGTGAGTTAATGTCATTGCAGCTAATTGTCTTAACTAGCATGGGTTATCAAATCAATCTTGTTTGTTACCTGTAATTCTAGGCCTTTAATCGCCTCCTACAGTTTTACAGCATACTGTAATATAGATGCTAGTCAGGAAGTCTTGTTGACCATGGTATGAATGACAAGGAAGAGGTTTTTAATAGCTCTGTGCTGACAAGGCTCACATCTCCTCGGGGGAACCAGTTATGGAGCTGCAGGCAGTGTTAGCATGATTCTCAGGGTTGTTCTGAATTCTTGTGACTAACAAGGCCAGATTCTTCCCCCAGCATCACATCATGAACTTGTCATTAAAAATGAGCACTGAAATGTTTGCCTTCTTTTTCAGACATAGTTGTGATTCAGCCATTGTTCCAAGCCAGCAGCATAGAACTAATACTAATTTGAGCATTTGCCAGCTCTTCCCCAAACTCTGTTTGTTCATTTGTGTCCTCCAATCGGGTAGAGCTCTTGGGTGACAGACTGCATTGCCCTCTAGGTTTCCTAGTTTTATGCCTTTTTAAACAATAGTAGGTTTACATCTGCATTTTACTCATGAATGCTATAGTAATAGCTCAATAATTCAAGACTAGAAATTACACATGACTATATAATCTGTACAAGTATGATGTAAGTGGATTCATCTTGGAATAGATGCCAGTCTAATCTGCTCTTTTGGGAACAGATTGAGACAGAGGAAATGGCACATTAAAAATGGCTAGCCACATCATGTATTTTTCCTTGCCTCTATCCATTTAAGGCTCCTTCTATTAGATCAGCCTAATTCCACCCACAAGAGTCTACCTGTCATATCAATTACAGTCTCTAAGTTGACCTGCCATGAGCTATATTGAGTGGTAACCCACAGTACAGAAGAAGAGAGGAATCCGAGATTTGCAGGAGTACTCTGAAACTTGAAGTAAATATTTCAGTGAGGGCTGGTAGGTTCAATGGCTGCAGAATACACAACGTTACTTAGATGAAAAGGAAATGGAAAGATTTGGTGGAAGCAGCTGTAGAGAGGGACATTGTAACAATTAGTATGGATGACTCCAATTCTCAGTAGGAGTACTTTACCCCATTAAGTCTGTTGCAAGACAACAAGAATCTGGATGGCACTGGAGGAGGATTTTCATAACTCCAACCCTGTCCATCAGCTTCCAGAGGCATCAGGTTGGCTGTGGTTGGAGACAAATGATGATTTACATAGGTATTCCTTTCCTTTACTGTCATTACAGATTTATGCCATTTCTTTCAGAGATCCTTCCAAGGAACTAGCTTTCTTTCCAGACACCACCTTCCTCTGCCTTCTAGTTAGACAGAAAAAAATATTCTTTGAGTCATGCTGAACCCCTGGTGACTTAATGGAAACATCCATGCAGTTTCCTTGGCAACAATACAGAAATATATTATTCTGGAGGGTTTGTTGTTGTTTTTAGCCTAGCCCACATCCCAGGTATTTCCTGGTCATCTTTTATCCAAGTACTGACCAGCTCTGCCCGAACAGCTTTTCTAATCAGTCAAGTTTGATTGGTTTTCCAGAGGAAGGCAGAAGATCTGTGTTCACTGCATAGATACTGCCAGGGTAAGGCACATTCATTTTTTAAAATTGATTATGTGCCATCGAGTCGTTGTTGACTCTTAGCAACCACATAGATAGATTTCCTCCATGATGACCTGTCCCTAACCTAGTCTTTCAGGTCGTCCAACCGTGAAGACATACTAGATGATGTCCAAATGCACTTCTCCATTGAAGAAAGGACTCAGAAGCAGGATAAATGTCCAGGACTTTTTGCCCCTCACAGCTGCCAAATCCTAACAAACTTTCACAAAGTTATATAGCCATATTCAGAAAGATTTTAACCCAGACGTTTCTCACTTGATGGAAACCAATCCTCCCCCACCCCGACCCCCCACCACGAAAGAAAATTTTGATAGGGACGTAGATCCCGTGTTTGCACAAGCCACTCAGCCACAAAGCATTGTCTTGGAGTGTTGTGCAATCGCAGCCCAGGTAATTTTTTTCTGGATTCCTGACTCACGTGCATTCAGAAAATGGGGTAAATTGGAGTTTACCTTGCGAACACAGCCTCTGAATTCATATACTGCACACGTCTTGTCTGAAGCTTCGGCAGTAATGCTCTATGGACTAGGACTTTTTCATTTTTGTGGCCTGGGGAGCTTCTGTGCTTTTCACAGACGATCTTTCAGATGATTTCAGCGTGTTTATTTATGAGGCAGCAACAGGAACAGAATCAGCCCGTAAGTCATCCTGAACCGGGTCTTCGTAAACCCCGTTCTTCGGAAATCAGCCCGGGACATTCCCAGCCGGCGTTTTTGCGCTGCAGACGCGCATCCCGACTCGGCGGTCTTCGTGCATTCCGCGTGTATTTAGACGGGCAGCATTCTCCCGACCCCCGATTTTCGTCTCCCGTTCATTCCTCCGCTTCCCCCGGCTCTTCCCACCTTCTTCCAGGCAGGAGGAGGAGCAGCAGCGCTGCCGGAGCGGACCAATCGCGCGGCTGGTAGGCAAAGAGGCCCGGGCGTGTGTTTGCTTTCGGATCCGGGCGGCGGCGGCGGCGCTGGGGCCGGAGACCTCAGGCGACCTGTCTGGAGGGAATGCGAAGACCCCGGGTTGCCCGCGCTCTCTTTTGATGATATTGCTCGGATGCTGATTCACCCAGTGAGTTAAAAAAAACAAAACCCAGATCACTGCGCTTGTCGTGGAGAGGAAAAAGAAGATTAGCGGATCCGGAGCCCCGAGGGCATCGTGGGATCTTTTTGAAAGAAGCAAGTTTTGAAACTGTTCAGTCTGTTCCCTGGCACGGTGGGTCCGGTAGTTTATTCATTCTCAGTAGGTAACAGTGTTTTTTTTGGTTTTTGGGGTTTTTTTTGCTTTAATAATGATGAATAAGAAGAGTTGTTGATCCTATTCCTGATTACTCAGAAGTAAGTCATTATTATATTTTATGGACTGTGTGAATAGGTTTGCAACTTAATCTTTGTTCCACAGTTAATTACCATGAAAAATTGAACCCTGTATTCTACGATCCTTCACTCTGGCCTTGAAGCATTAACATGGCAAGATGAATAATACTAATAATAGTAACAACTACAAGAATGCAGAGCATTTCTTCTTTTTTACATGTTCAGATATATATTGCCTAATACTGTATTTGCAATTTGGCGCTTATGTTTGGATACTCCTAGTGATACAGTGATATAGTATCTTTCCATTTCCCCTTTCTTAACAAAGTTTTCTGGGGGGAAAAGAGCCTGAATGGGCAAACCTTCAGAGATGGAAGATGCCTCTGAGATGCTCAGAAAATTCCACTGATTTGTGAGGGCAACTGCACAGTAAAAGGCCATTTGGAAGTGCCCCTGATTCTAGTCAGTGATTAGAAGCATCAGGTTCTTTGGGGGCTCTCTGAGAATAAAAACTTTAACTTGATTTTGATCTGGTTCCCAAACTTCGCTAAGCCATATTCTGTATATAATGTGTTACATTTGATTTTAGTCAAATGTATTATGTGAACTTAGACACTGCAATTTACTGAAACGGGTTAAAATATCATAGTGGTTTATTATGGTTCGGTGTTATGAACCCAGCCTTAAAGCTTTGTTCTGTCATGTGACAGCACCCAGGAGACCTTGGACCTGGCTAACAGTTGGATGGGAGACCACCAACTACCAATACGAAACATCTGTTAAAAATAATGGCTATATGTTCAAATGTAGTGTTGGTGGACATATGAGAATTTCTCATTTCAGAGGAGAGGACTCATCAGATTACTTGAACTGGCTCCTTGGTAATCCTGAAATCCACCTTTGAAGGATGCTGGTTGAGAGGGCTTAGTATGGAGTGGAAGAACATCTCTGCTAGTGGGCATGTTTTCTTCTCTAGAGACCTACAGTACATCTATCTTTGTCTTATAGATATAGGAAAATAGCTGGTAAAGGTAAGGGTCCAAACAGAGTAGGAGTGGATGTTCGGGGTAGGTAGGGCTATCTTGACAGGCATTTATTTATTTATTTATTTATTTATTTATTTATTTATAGACTTATCCCCGCCCATCTCCCCGCAATGGAGGACTCTATGCTAACCTAGAATGATCACACTGATTTTCTTGGGAGGCAGGACAGAAAATCTTGCAGTCAGTAACCAGAAAACCATCTCATATACTTACTGGAGAGAGTAAGGTTTGAGAAATGGTAGACTTTTCACAGTGGATCTTTTTCCTCTCTTGGATTGGTTTGTTAGACTGATTTGAGAATCTAGAGACAACATTAGAGGTTCCCTTTATATCTGTGTTGTGAAATAGCAGCAGTAAATTTCTGATCAGGAACATGACACCCAGTAAACGGAACTGAAAGCTTTAACTAATGTTGCAAGCTGCAATATAAACAATGCCCTGAATGTACAGATTAAAAAAAAAAGTTGTTCCATTTTTTACTATTTTAGCTAGTCTAAGTTTCTGCCAATTTGGGGATGTGACTGCTAGCTCTTTGCTAGAAGAGCATAGGATCTTGATGGCTGGGGCTGATGGGAGCTGTTGTTCAGCACATCTGGGAACCCCCAGATTGTGAACACTGATGTAGAAATTCAACTTTTTCATTAAAAAGATTATTATTTTTGCAGCTGACAGGTCCAATCACTGGGCCATTTGTGAATACTGACATACTACATGCAAGAGGGTGTTCTTGAGTGCAGAGCATTTCTTCTTTTTACATGTTCAGATCCAGATCCAGAAAAGATGATCTTCCAGAAAAATGGCTTTTTAGTAATGATTGTTTCTAGATCAAAATGATTGCTTATGGTCATATGGATGTTAATCAAATTATAACATTCTTACTGCTTGAACTTGGATGTGTGGGGAAGAGAGTTTGTCTACAGTGGATCTGTTTCTTTGGTTCATAAGTTTCATCTGGAACAACCTTTAGTGCTCACTAAATCTGATAGACTTCTTAATCTCCAACTAGCTGAAGCCATGAGAGAGTATGATAATAGGCATATGGCATGTTGAGATCGTGCCAGGCTAATGAAGGCTGCTCTGAGTTTATACCTGAGCAGTGACACACTCCTCCAACAGTTGCCTTTTTGATTGGCAGCTTATGCGTGGGAGGAAAACGACCCATTTAAGAAACAATAAGTGAGGCTCAAGAGGATTTTATAAAAATAGGTCAATGGAGCAAAGACCTACATCAGATAACCAGGTTGCATTTGTTTACATCTCTTAGCTTCTGCTGGCAAAGCCATAAACTCACTATGTAACATGAGGTCAGATTCAAGTGACCTTGTAGAACAAAGTGCATAACACAAATTAGACTGCAGCGAACAATAACATGCCTTCTAATCAATCTATCCAGATTACAGATATTTAATCACATTGGCGTTTGTAGTATTTGTTTTTTGTAACCCAGTGAAAATACACAATGCTATACAATGTTTTTAATTTGGTCTTGGACTAACATAAAGTAAAAACATAGAGAATATGAAATCAACAACTATTACATAGAAATAGTATGTCTACAGAGAGTTGTGACAGATATGAAAGTCTATTTAATTTGGATTATTCTTTAGTCCTTGGTGGTGGTGTGTTCAGGCCACAGAACCTGTTAGTTAAAAAAAAATAAAAATCCTGGTACCCTTGATTAAGAAGCCAAGCTCTAGTGATAAAAAGTTGGCTGTGCTTAAGTGAAATTTTTTGGCGGGCGGGGTGCCCTTAGTCTTTCATAGAACCTCAATCAGTTCTCAGAAACCCACAGTTTAAAAACCCTGCTTTAGGTTATTGAGGTTTGGGGGTGGAGATCAATTGAAAATGATTGTCTGAATCTGTTGTTAGATATAGCTCTGTTTTAGATGGATAGCTTGATTAGCTTTGGGGTCAGCAATACAAATATTGATCCTGATTATGTGGCTTCAGCTATCTTGATCTACTGGATTGTCACGGAAGGTTATGTCTTCATTTGTATGACTCATAGAAAGGACTTGGGCTGATGATATTATTCCTGTCTTTATCACAGCCCTCAGGGCAACCCACTCTGTGTGTGTGTACGTCAAAATCTACAAGATGGTAAGTGTGGCACCACAAGCCACGTTCCGCCCCTTTTGAACCTGCATTAAAAAAATATCAAAATAGGAAGGGCTT